CGTCCAGAAGAGCCAGGACCATCTTTACGCATCTATGCCCTGTTTTTCAAACCTGCTCCGTTCCATGGCTCCCACACTTTTTATTTATTTATTTATTTTGAAGATTGGCAATGGGGCTCCCACACTTTAGAACGCCAGGAATGAAGACAAAGCCCGGGTCGTTTCCTCTTGTGGAAAAAAAAACGACGATCGGAGAAAAGCAAGGGGTCAATTTTATCAATTCAAATCAATATCTATCATAGAAAATTCAAATAAATTATGAAAGTTACATTTGATCTTCTCAACCTAGTGATTTTGAAAGCCAGGAATGAAGACAAAGCCCTCATCCTTTCCTCTTGTGGAAAAAGAAACAGCAACGGTGGGAGAAAAATCAAGGGGTCAATTTTGTCCCTTCAAATCAATACCTAATTACCTATTATGAAAAACCCAAATAGGTCATAACAGTTACACTTGACCTTGTCGGCCTAGTGGCTTTGAAAGCCAGGAATGAAGACAAGGCTAGTAATGAAGACAGACCTCGCGTCCTTTCCTCTCGTGGAAAAAACAGCAACGGTAGGGGAAAAGCAAGAGGTCAATTTTATTAAATCAAATCAATACCTATCATAAAAAATCCAAATTGGTTATGAGAGTTACACTTTAACCTTCCCGACTGACCTAGTGATTTTGTCATTGTTGATAAGTACACTTCAATCCCTTGGGTTAGATTTGATTTCCTTATCTTCTATTTATAATTTGTTTTTTTTTTAAAAAAAAAGTTACAAGAGCCGTGAGGAATCTAATATTAAATTTATTTTTAACTAAATCAATTCAGTACCTCTCACATAAAAAAAAATCAATATCTATAAATACGTACTTATAAAGTCAATACCTTATTACCTACTAATTAAATTTTATGAGATTAAAGTAACTTAAACCCAAAGAATAAAAGAAAAATTACCTCTGGACTAAAATTTAAATGGTGTCCAGTTTAATTCTTATGTTAGTTAAAGGAGATTTCAATTTGTAATCTCATCCAAATCTCATATATATGTAATGAAAGCTAATAATAGTAAGATAATTGAGAATATTAAAAAGAGAAGTGGAGGTGAAAGAGAAGAAGATAAGAAGATAAGAAGGTAAAACAAATATTATTAGTACATATATTTATTATATTTTAAATATAAAAATACTATATTTTCTTTTTAACTTTTAACAAATTGTGTTTTTTATAATTAAAATAAAAATGACAAATTTTAGTGCCTAATTAATATTTGAGTATAACATTTTATATAATATATGGATATAAATAGATAAATATAAATATAGACAGTTAATCTAAAAAAATTTTATCTTTTGATTTTTTTAATATATAAGTTTTATTAGTTGTTAGTCTAATAATCAAATAATTTTTATCTTCTATTTTTATTTTTTTTCATCTTTCTTAGTTATTTTTATTTCTTATTTAATCAAATTCATAGTTCTTTGAAATTGAAGTTAAACGATATTAATTATTATTTTAATAAAAAAATCATACTTTAACAATTATCTTTTTTTTTTTTACATTAGTCCTTATCAACTCTTTTTTTATAATTACTAACTTGTAAAATTTTGTTTTATAATTATTTTTCTTGTCCTTTTTCTCATTTCCAATTTCCTATCATTTTTGTCCATTCTTATTTTATTCCTTTAACTTATATTACAAACTATTTTAATATATTAATATAAATGCTCAAATTAAAGGTACAAAAAAAATTTATTTGAATGAGATTTTAGTGTAATCAAATGCACATTCCCAAATATATATAACAATAATATTGGATATATATACAATTTAGAAGGAATGTGAAGTAGAATTTATATTTAAAAGAATCAAAAAGTTAATAATAATATAATATGAATAAAATGAAAAACATAA